AAAGAGGGACCAGGTGGTCCTTCATTATCATGCAATACAGCTTCTTTTCTAAAGATATCTCTTATTATTCCCCATCTTTGGAGGAAACCCATGAAAGTCAGAAAGAAATCAAAAAAACGTTGGCAGTCAAGAAGCTTTTACTAGGGATTCCCTGTAAACCAAGTAATCATAGATGCTCATCTCTTGTTATCACACTGAAGTATCTTCCTAGGTGCAGTGTATTCAGAAAGCAATTTCATAGTTTGGAAAGATGACCTGTGGTTAAATGGAGCTGTTGCCACACAGATGTTCCTATACATATGAAAGTCCCTGAGCTGAATCTACATAAAGGCAATTGTATTCACAGCAAGGAAAGTCATCATCACTGGCTGTTCCACCATTTTCTTTGTAACATGTGGAGAAACAGAATTCAATACCCATTCTATCCCTTCCATAGATTTCTAGAGAACCAGCTCCCCTTTCAACAGCAATAACACTAAAGATAATATATAAGATTAAAAAAATGTTACTTACATATACCATATGTGTTTCTGAATGTGTTCTAGCTAAAAAGAAAGAGAAAACAAGGAGTTAGTACAGAAAAAAAAGAACAGGTAAGTGCATTTTATGACTTATAACACTGGCAGATGACACCCAGCTGCCAGAATGTTACCAAAACTATGAAGGATAGAATCAGGATTTGAAAATGACCTCGACAAATAAGAGCAATGGTTTGAAACCGAAAAGAAATTCAATAGATGCAAGTGTAAAGTGCTAAACTTAGTAAGCAGAAATCAAATGTATAAATAGAAAATGGAGGATATTGGAGTAGACAACAGTATGGCAGAGAAGAATCTATTATTACAGTGGATCAGAAACGAAATACTATTTAACATAGCAATGCGGTTACAGAAAAGGTACAGCTCATACCAAGTTGTATTAATTTAGGAGTGCTGTGGTTACAACACAGGAGATAAACATTCTGCTCTGCTTTGTGCTCGTTGAGCCTAGAGGAGGAGTACTATGTCAAGTTTGGGGCACCACATTTGAAGAAAGACACAGACAAACAGGAAGCAATCAGGAGGAGAGCAATAACAATGCTAACAGGTTGTGTAAACATTACCTATATGGAAAGGTTGAAGGAAGGGAAGACTAATCTAGAATGAAAGACTAAGGGAAGCCCTGATAACAGTTTTCCAATGTACACAAGATTGTTATAAAGTAGTCTTGAAGAAGGACCAGAAGAAAATCAGCTTAATTTGCAGCAAAGAAGTCTGAGGTTGGACTTTAGGAAATATTGTTGGGGTAGTGAAACACTGCAAGAAGAGATGCAGCAAGCTTCACTGGAGGTTTTTAAGAACAGGTTAGACCTGTGGTTCTCAGGTTCTCTTAAACTTGTGGTGTGATGCAAAGCACCCCTTGGAAAATGCCAGCTTTTAGCTTTCAGGGGTGTAGGTTTCAGGTAGGTTTACTTATTAGACCAACTGTTTGAGTTGGTCCAATAAAAGATATCGGATTTACCCAAATAATCATGTCTGCCTAGCTCTTAGCTTTTGCTTTTAGCTTTCACTTATTTTTTGACTGTGGAAAAATATTAGAGCAACTCTTCTGTTGCAAAGAACTCAGAAAGACCACAGTAGGCCAGCAATATATTTTTGGTGCTATGGATTCCTATTTGAAATCTCTGGGTTTATCTTGTAAATCATGTGGAGGTGTTTGCACACTTATCAGTGCTAACATTGTGAAGCAACCCGCAACACCCATAGATGGATCTCATGACACCTTGACTGAGAATCACTGGGTTAGATATACATCTGTCAAGGAAGGCGGAAGTATACTTGATACTATCTCAGTGCAGGATGTTGAACTGGATGATCTCTTGAGGTCCCTTCCTATACAGCAACACATACAAGGTCTCTTGACCTTCTGATGCTCCCACTTCAATAGCAAGTCTGATATTCTTAACAGGAGTTTTTTTCATGAGAGAAAAATGGACAGGAGGGACAAGTTCAGAAAAGATGAAGTAAGTGATGACAACATCAGGCTGATCTTCTACCATGAATCACTCCTGATGGACCACATCAGATCTTAGCAGCTTCATGGAGGCAAAGTGAAGTGAGATTGTGTGCTATGGTAATAATACTTACGACCCTGGCACCTATGGTGCATACACCAGTTTCCTCAGTGGGCCTCCACCATTTCCACTCCAGTCCTACATTCCTTATAGGAGGATGATGGAACAATGCTGCTATGACTGAGTGCTAAATGGACAATGATGTGTACAGAGAAGAATGGGCCAACTAGTAAAGTTTGACAGTAGCAATGTCTGCCTACAGTAGGCAAGACCCAGAAACTGTTTCATGGTGGGAACACATTTCTACAAGGATGGGGAAAAACAAAGACAAAAAATGTCCATACAGAACTCTTCTCCCTGATGCAGAGAGAGGACAACTCCAGTTCATATAAACCCTTGCAGTAAAACCTTTCTAAGCTTGTGTCTGCAGCACGATCCCAGAAGAAAAGGACCATTCCTGGGTGCCAAGACAGGAACCTTTGTGCATGTGTTGTGCAACGTGTGCACTTGCTGCGTGCACACATGGGCTGGTACAGCACGATAGCGAAAGGCTGGAGGGAGAGCTGGAAGGAAACTCAAGTGCTAATGGCTGTAAGAGGAAATTTGAGGCCCATTAAACCGGTCAGCAAGAACGGAGACAGCTGTCCCACTCTTATTGCTTTCCACTTCATTTCCAGACTAATGGGAACTGGCAAGCCAAAAGCAGAGAGGGACAGACAGACGCTCAGAGGCAGAGACCAACGTAAAGAGAGAGAGAGAGGAATCAAATGTGTCTGTCCATTATATAACAACAGCTCGCCCTGGAAATCTCAGCATAGCTGTGGCTGAGTCTTTATGAGATCATTTGTTAAGCACGACAGGGTTTTTTCTGGAATAAAAGAAACAAGGAAATGTGACTTAGAAAAGCATGGCAGGAGGGCAGCAGGGGAAGGATGAGCTATGAACAATCTCCTTCAGAACTGGGGCCATATCCACACTGCAGTCATGGGAGCATATGGAAGTACACCTGAGCTTGCTTTCATCTGGCCAGCTGCGGTACCATTAGCATCACAGCTGCCCAAGCGTCTACTCAGGGCAGTCTGGTACAAATGGATTCAAAGCTTAAGCCACCAGGTGGCTTTCCTGCTCCTGGTTCTTGAGCTGGCCAGACTAAGGTTAACTCAGGTACGTCTACGCTTCTGCAATCACTCCTCCGACTGCAATGTAGACAAAACCTCAGAAGCAAAGGTTAAGCCTGCTGTTGTAACATTCCCACTCATGCAAAAGCCCCAACTGGATTTCCCAGGCTCCATTTCATAATCATAAAGCAGAAGCAGCAGCCATGTCTGTGTGCAGGTGAGAAGAGTGCATATGTAGGCCTGCAGTATTACCCTGTGTTGTTCAGTCTCTGGAGTTTAGGTGTTTGGGATTAAAAAGAGCAGAATCATTCTTGTCCTTCTGACCTTTTCATTCTGGAAAGTCTGGCCGAGGGTGGCATGCAGCCACCTTTCCATGCTGTGCCCCACTTCCATTCACCACCAAAAATATCCACTCACTTAGCCATGATCCATTTCCAGTTTAGCAATATGGTAAGGGAAAGTAATCATGACCTTGGGACCAATGGGTGAATTCCACCTGGATTGAGAACCTGTGCCCAGGAAGCATTAATATTATGCATTAGTATTATATATTACACATACTGTGGTTAAACCTAGGAACCCCAGCCTTGGTCCAGAAACCCAATGTGCAAGGTGCTGTACAAACAGATTAAAGAGACAGTCCAGCTTGTATCTCTTCTCTTTTTTCCCCCTTTTCTCTGGGACAGGATTCTAACACAGCCAATCACCAGTTCTAGCAAATAGTAAGACCCTAGGGTATGGTTTTTGAGGAGGCCCCCTTACATTGTAGTAATTACTTCCATCTCACACAGGAAAGCCACCCCAAAGAGCACTAGTACTCGACCTAGTATATAGCGCACACCATATGGAGGGATGAAGCCATTAATGATTTCAGACAAGGCATAAATGATAGAGCTAAGCTATGTCCAAATCTTTTTCATATGTGCCTCTTCCACATTCTTCTCTGCCTCTCAGTGGGCATGTCTACACGTGAACTTAAGCGGGCTTAAATTTAATGTGCGTTAAGCTAATGAGCATTAAGCATTTTTTGGCAGGTGTCTACATGTGGTGGGATTTGGGACTAACTTTAATCCCAGGTCTGTGCAGCCTTGCCATGTGCCCCTGTGGCCACTGGGGGGGGAACTCCAGACTCCAGACACATGGCTGCCAGCACTTGGCAGCTATGTTGAAGCTGGAGCCAGCTGCCAACACCCAGCAGACATCTTGAAAGCACACCCTCCATTCTGTGACCTCTAAGGTGATGCTTCCTGTGTCAGAGAAGCAGCATGGCAGACACAGGCAGCATGTGTCTGCTCTGCTCCTGCTGCAGCTGCACTTCCCAGCCCTGCCTGTCCCAGATCCTGGCCCTAGAGCCCAGGGACAGGGTCCCCAGCTCCTCAGGGCTGATGCAGCTGTCTTGCTCACCCACCGCCATTCCATGCGCCTGCCACTCAGCCACCCAGTGCCGCTCGATTTCCACACCTTCTCCAGCCACCTGTTGGACGATTGGTACACAGCCTTCCAGGGCCCCCGCTGCTGCACAGCTTCTGCTGCCAGCCCCAGCAACCATGGGCTCCAGGACACTACCGCACTCCTGTCCCACCAGCCATACCTCCTCTGGGCCCGCTAAATCAGCCAGCACTGTTGAAAGTGCATCCTGCTGCAGGAATGGGATGATGATCAGTGGGTCGACGCATCTACCACGCCATTCACACACTCCCTACCCCCTGCCCACCCCCAAGCACCATTCCAAGACGCACACATATTTGTAATGAAAACCTTTATTCCCCTTGCACCCCCATCCCCCACACCTTACTCCTCAGCCAACAGAGCCACTTCCTCCTCCCTCCCTGACACACACAGCCTCTCCACCATCCTCCCCACCTGTCAACAATAAAAACACTCCTCCCAAACACTGAAAACTATATACAGCAGTCTCGGTCTTTGTCTGAGTCCCAGAGTGGGGAGCTGTGGGGTGGGAGCGTTCACAGCACATAACCCAGCAGCAGGCAGCCAGCACCTGGCTGTGGCAGTTCCCTTGTGGGTCCAGGGTCTGTGGTGAATGCTAGGGGCTCCTGCAGGTGTGAGGTGGTGGAAGCCCTCCTCCCAGACCCAGGTGGGGGCCTGCTGTGGGGCAGCAGGCAGGACCCAGGGGCCCTGACTGGCTAGTTGCTGTAGGGCCCAGTGCACCTGCTGTACTGGGTCCCATGCTTCCTTGTAGGCAGTCTCCTGTGTAATGTCCTCATCCTGCCATGCCAGCTCCTGCACCTGCTGCCAAGCCTGCTCTCACACCACCTAGTTGTCAACTGCTGCCACCTGCTGCTGGAGCCAGAGGGTTCAGTCCCTGGTGTGCTGCTAGCACAGTTGGCATGTCTGGGCAACTCCAGCAGTGGGT